TATTAAGTAGTTGTGCCCTGAAATTTCTATCGAAAATTATACATAACAAAATTGATATCAAAATAAATTTACGATAACATTTATTCCACCCATTTTCTCTGGAAAATCAACCGCAAACGAGACATCCGGTGTCCTGGATAGAAATTTCCTATAAACCATACATAAACCCACGTTTAATTTCGCGAATCGTTCCCAACCCCTTCAATCCCGCAACAAACTTCGAAAACAAATAAGAAAGTATAAACTACCCACGAAAATTCCTCGCTAAGGAACTAATTCGCCGATACCGAGACCTTTTACTCGTTCGAATCGTTCGATACCTCAATTTCGAGCGTGTTCGAGCGTTCATTGTTAGCTGGAAGAAGCCGACGAATAAAACGAGAAGAACTCCGTCGGAGAAATGAAAACGCCGAGGAGTAACAGGATGATCTAATTACTCCAACGTAGGCCACAATAGGAGCAAGAATACGTGGTTCGTAAATTGGGGACGGGCACAATATAAGGTATCTCGATATCTTGCTCGTTACACGGTCACGACGGTATAAATTTGCCGAAGGGTAATCAAGTAATGAATACATCGCCTGCGAAGACCGTACGTATATAAATCATGCCGGAGAGGATGCCGGGGGCTACAGGGTGAGCCCTTATCTCCAATCAGTACATTGATTGCACGCAGCCAGGTCAAATACCGGGCTTCGCTCGACGGCTCGGTTCAGGCACGATAGCTTATTCAATTTCCGAAGCGGCCATTCACCATTCAATTTGGCAGTTATCAACCTCCACCTATCCCCTATCTGGATTTTGCGTGGCTTTCTAGGAATCGTACTTCCTGACGGAGAAAAGAATAAGGCATAGGGAAGGGGGGAGCAAGGAAGAATGATAAGTACCGGAAGATTTAATTGCGCGGAGTTAGGCTTCAGACCTGAGGTCTTGGAGGAGAGTTCCGAGTCTCGATCGCTCCTTGTGATCGCGTGATTAATTGGTCGTTTTAAATTGACTTCTAGAAGCGAGTCAAGAAGACGAACGTTGTGGAATATTGAAGGTGTTACGATAGACTTTTGGGGAAACGAAACTGGTTGATGATAGATGAAATGCACTTGGGTAGCATTAGTTGATTTGAAAAACAACAAATTTAATAGCACTTTTTATTATCAGAATAATAACGTAGATTATACACTTATATTAAATCTTGGCACCCAAGGCAAAACACTTTTTAGCTGACAGCGAATGGAATAAGCAACGACTATCGGTGACAGATAAGCTATTTCTATTATCGGTCAATCGCTTCGTGTATGGGGAATCAGAATAAATATTGTCGTATAACCTGTGAACAGAATTAGAATTTTAGAAAGTTTCTCCAGAACTCATCTCTGTTTCGTTACTATCTCCTACTTCATTGGTGACATCTTTTTTTTTCAAAAACGATAACCAAAGTTATATATTTCTTGGCGATGTTTTCCTCGCAGGTATTAAACAGGCACGACCGACCGTTTCGTAAAGCATATGGCTATTACTCAGCATCTATCTGGCAGAAGCAAGACGCGGTTCCTGCAATGTACATAGATAATCGAGCTTAATTAATTGCTCGTGATGCGCGCTCTGGGCTGAGCAAACACATTTACTTATTACCATCCATCTTGAGTGGTGCCTCTCAAGGGAATCGATTTTCTAAGTGCACGGGGGCTGATGATGACACGAATTATCGAAGGGTTGGGCACGTGATCGTAACAAAATCGTTAAGTAATCGCGCGGGCTTATGCAATATTCTTCGTCGCGGGATTAAGTTTTCAACCTGAAAACGAATTAATTTACGGGTACACCTTTCATCGATCAGTCAGGGAATGATTCCATTATCGCATTATGGTGCTGTTACGAGTTAATATCTTAAGAGCCTAGGGTTCCCTTTGGCATTCTCTGCTCGTGTCATCGGTAGGTTGACCATCGTGTTTCATTATGGAACTACATTTCATCACTGTTTGATGCGTTCAATCAAACGAACTATTCTGTTACGTTGAGTTCGACGGTGTCGAATTTTTTACGAATTCATTTTTCGATCAATTCATACCTAAATATTCATACAAAATCTCTAACCTAGGTTTTCATCATGTGTAAAACATTGAATTACCTTGGTTACGCTGTTAATTATGCAAATTAATTGCGATTCCCTGATTATATCGTCAGTTGCGTCGGTGTCTTTGCGTGGAAATCAGTCGGCTCGATGAAATCATTAACTGACGTCAGTTCGGTACGTTAATCAATTGTAAGTGGAACTATTTGGGCGCAATGAAGCCACCGGTAATGGGCGGTAGTTAATACTTGTCTACGTTAATCGCCACGTCTATGCCTGGCAATACGTTCCGCGGAAGCCTCGCCTAGTAATCGTTATTGACTGGTACAGATCCCTCGGGTAGTAAGTGACATTTACACGATGCATTCTGCGTTAAACTTCCCCAGAGAGATTGGAGCACGACAGAGCGCGCACCGGAGAGAGACAGTGGCACGTAGAGAGAGAAGGACGAAACGTCGTATCTCAATTCCAGTATCTATACGGAGATCGAGTTCCCCTGACAACAAGACAACAACAAACGCTTAATAGCCAGTACTCTGCTCAAAGTTTAATTTCCTGGCCAGAGGACAGTGCTTAAACTGGCCTTCCCCTCCGCCCCCATCTCCTCTCTCGTCGTTCTCCCTCGATCTACCTAGAATCATACTTCGTGACCTACGTCTATTCGTATGGTTCTTATTCCCTTTTTCTTTAAGCAGCCTCATGGTGAGGGTGATGTATGCTTTCATGAGATATCGGCGAAGTTACGAATAATGGCTCCTATGGAATATTGAACAATGAATTACGAGTGCTGGAGGCTCCCTTGGAGACGTTTCGCTAAATTGATCCCTGGACAGTGAGTAGAATTACGTGCTTGTGTGGTATATGGCATTCGAAGGGTAAGGTTGAGAGATCCTAGATCTTGGAGACGCTAAGCTGTGACAAGACAGGAGACGGAAAGGCATGTAGCCCTAGACGGCATGTTGAGAAGTAGATAGTACCCATCTGGTATTTAGAAACGACATCTGTGACTATAGCTACTACTGCTCAGACTACACATTTACAATGACAAAATAGACAATTGATGGATACTACTACATCAAGACTCACCACTAATGTTCATCATCATCAGTGGATACTTATATAAAACGTCTACTATTCTATAGCCTTTTTTTCCTTTTTTCCTTTCTATTATTTCTTCCGTTTCCGTTCCATCTAATTAGCAAAACCAATTGAATAGACAACAGAAGAATTTATTAACGACAGAGTAACTTCAGATTCAAGGAACACTGTACCCTTTTCATCGAACTACGAACCCGGAAATCTTGGCTGCGTTTCACGAGTATAGTTTCTGTAGGAGTTCCACATAGTCGCGGCACTGACCCTTGCAACGTAACCCCTCTTGGTACATGAGTTGCATGTACGAGGAAAAAGTTTTGGGGTCGCCATGTATGTTTCCACCCTAGTGCGTTCTCACCCTAACATTCTTATGGCACAGGTAGCGCATAATGAAAAAAGAATAGCGAGTCAGAAGACAGATGGCCGCGATACTCGTCTATATTATGCCCATATTGAGAAACAGATTATCGGGGCCTCCGATAAAACGTATCGTACAAAGTTGCTTCATCTATTCCTAGATTCGGACAGCACCTGTACTGTTTGCTATATCTCTTGCAGAGATTTCATTCAAATTGAAATATGCTTCGCATTCACTTAGGAACGGTTTAACTAGGGAAATGAGGTCATTGTATTGGGTTGTCTGGAAAGAAACGACTACTTTCCAGTTCCTTAAATATATTAAAATTAAACGTGCCTTTGAATGTTTCTTAAAATTTAACGCGAACTTTCTGGGCAACCTAATGCATGAAAAAGTAAATCTAAAATAAAATTTCTTCGAATGATTGAATCTAATCTAATCTAAGGTTCAGGTGAGTGAAAATCAAAAGCAAAATTCCTGGAAGCATTTTCAAGATGATACGTTTCCAGAAGGGCCAACAGAGGTTTCGAAGTGACGAAAGGAGAAGAACCCCAGGACAAAGTAACCGAGCTAAAGTAGCGGGACACAGCCAGTGAAGGGACGAGAAGGAAGGATCGGAGTACAGACCCGTGTCCCCCGCGTCATGAATCATGCATTCCCATCCCCCAGGAACGAACTAGAGCGCTCTGCGGTAGCGCGATCCGTCCGACAAATAAACAATGTTATTTGTTCTCTGGGATCTCGACCCATTCGCAGCAGCCCAAAAGACTTCGTGGGGTTGCCACGAAAGGACGAGCCTCGAAGTTCCACGCTCTCGCGTACGGAAACGACAGGAGGAAGGACGAGGTTACCTTTTCCCTGCCCTCTGTTTCTTTATCTCATCCCTGGCTACGTTTCCCGCTCTCGTTTTTGCTCCCGTTATTCCTCGTCACCATTTTCCATTCGCCATTATTCCACGACAATCGAGCCTGTCAGTAACAGAAGGAACCCACCAACGATAATGTTTGAACAAGAGCGAAGTAACGAGGGACGGGCTGATGACGCGCAAACAATGATATTTTTCCGTGGTTCGATCCGCGAACGAATTTCGGATAGGCGTTTTATACTTCGTTTTTGTTTTAACTCTACGGTCCGCATTGACGCGCGTATGCATCAACCGCCTTTTTCTTTAATATTTTATTACACAACGGCATAAACGACAACTTATGCGCTGTTTGATACGATTTGAAAAATTATAGGGTTAACAACTCTGCGGATATTTTGAGGGACTGGGTGAAGATCTTTTGGGAATTAATTTTAAGATAATGTATGTGGGTCTTGAGGTTTCCTTTTACACGATGTTTGTGTGTATCTTGGAGAGTGAGAAAATAATTTTTTTAATCGAATATGCGTGTGTGTTAATTCGTGTCTAAATTCGTATAAATTAACATTCCCGAATAGCCATTGCATATAAATTTCCTTTCTTTCTTTTTGTTGCAGATGAACCGTCCTATTCAAGTGAAGCCGGCGGACAGTGAAAACCGCGGAGGTAAGAACTAACATTTAATCAATATATATCACTGTTAAATATCGTTAATACAATCAGATTTCAATATGAAGAAAATAAATTTATAGCAATCTTTAACCTATTTCTCGTATACTCGTATCTCTTATAGCGAATATTCGTTTAATATTAACGGTGTCGTTATTAATCATACAATATTAGACCAAATAATTCCGATTATTTGAAACTAGGGATCAACGAGGTAAATATTTCCGAGGGCAATAACACGCTAAGCTAACATTTTCCGTATTTTTCTTAGCGCGGCGACGATAATTTCGCTTTTACATTCAGATTGTATTGGATCGATAAAAGCATTTACAGGTTGGCAAACTTGTTATTAAAAACTGTAATGCATTCGTAATGGCTGAAAATATACAACAAAGGACGCGTTACCGATCAACGATTTCAATGAAAGGAAATAATAGACTTAATGGCGCGCTGTAAAATATGATTTGTCGAATTAAAAAGCATTCACCGTAACACGCGGTAATACACGTCGACAACCCATACGTAACTTTCAATCGTGAAAATACGTGAGAGCGCGCCACGGTCAATTTTCGTTTCCGTGCAATTTTTTCACGATATGATGATATTCATTAATTTTGTGTCAATGAAAACACGCACGATATATTCACTGTCTTACCTTTTACATTCGTCCGATAAGCGACTGATAAGGAAAAAAGCTTTCGAGCAAATTGCCCTGATAATCGTCCTCTTTGCAACAGCAGATGCGTCACCGTCCATTAGAAATAAAAACATAAACATTACACTCCAAGATTCAATCGAATAAATTAATCTGGAATATTGATACTAGTTTTAACCTTTGCACACGATCCTCCAGTTCTTCATTTAATTTTTTTCTACGTGTTATTCGCACGGAATTGGTTTTATTCCCGGAACTGTAATAACTTAACTCCGTTATGCAATGGGTATTGATGTCAGCAACGGGAGAAATTGTAATTGCCTCGCTTGGCACGCGTGGTGTAGCGTGAGAAGACACAATTCTACGCCCACTATCAGAAATTAATGCCATACGACGGAATTGAGATTGATGAGTTGTGTCACGCAGAAAAAGGAGACTTAACATCTGCGTGTTCGGTTTATCGAGCATTAATACAGGGACACGTGGATAACCTGATGATGGCGGATACGTAACGGTTCTGTCCAAGAAGTTTGAAGTGTGCTGTGCAGAGGTTCGAAGTTAGCTATTGATTTTGTCGTGCTGTTTATAGCGAGAGTATCGATGGGATATAAGCAAGTTTTCTAGCTACGATTCAGCGAGACATACCCCGAACGAAGTCCTTGTCCAACAATCGAGGTTCTTCTGTATGAGTGTTCTTATAACATTCTACTCGGAATTTCTGGCCTCATGGTGGAGCGATTTTCAGAGATAATTTTGTCCGATAGATTTGACATTTTTTTGGTATAATTATAAAATGTATCATATTCTTAAATGTTACTTAAATGTTACTTAAATATTCGTTTGAATATTTTTAAAACACTAGCTTGGTAATGTAAAATTCAACGAAAGTGCATAAAAAAAGGATATCGATTCCCCGAAACAGGAAAGATGGTGTGTGCTTCCTTAAGTCTCTTCGCGAAGACTAGGAAACTAGTTTCCTTCTCAAACGGAAAACCAAGTTAACACTGAGTAGCAGTGGGAGTTGTGCCTGACGAAATGGGAGGCCTTGAGCGATCGATTGAGTTTGATCCAATGCAGATATTCAAGGAGAGACACCGAAGAAGGAGAAAACCGAGTTACGAGGCGGAGCGGAGGGAAGTAGATGAAGGGAACCGTAATTCATACGCTAATCTGGCGCAGATGCCATTGTAATCTCCGGTCGCCTGTCTCAGTGTGGCTCCACAAAGCCTCAGTTTGACGTGGCTGCAGGAGGAGCGGACCAAAACTGAACGCTATCACTGCTTCTGCTTCCACCGTCTTACCTGGCACATGCGTGCAGGAGCCTCGATTAGAAAGCTACCGAACCTCGATGATAAAAACAAAATATACTAGCTATACAGGCATTTTAACGATAATATACGTATCATTTGAATTCTCGCAACCTGAGAAATTGGAAATGTTATCATTGAAAAGGAGACGAAAACTGAAATACAGCGAATCTGTGTTAATAAAATTTTTTTTTCAAAAATTCATAGCGAATTCGTGAACTCTTAATTGTACAGAAAAAAAGCATACAACACCTTTCTTGAAGTAAATATCCGTATCTTCACTTTCAATTTAATAACTATCTGCCCCTAACTACCGTTGATGCCTATAAAAAGTTCTCCTCACGACGATAGCTATGTAACTACCTTTCACGATATTCGTAACGACCTAGTAAAAGAATTTGCAAGAAACTAGCATCAACCTACTTCGCAAGAATTTTTTCAAGGTGACTAGCCTGAATAGAAACTCGAGGTAGCCTCGCGTAAATTGATATTCCGGGAAAAGCGGTGCTTCGTGGGATTCACACGCCTTTGAGAGGTAAGCGTGACCGATTGTCTCGCGAGAGTCAGCAGAATTAAATATACAACGATGGAAACAGATTTGAGAAATGCCTATCTCGCGCGGAAAGTTGCTCAAGCTCAAGGGTAGTCGAAGTTCGCGCAAGTGGATAAGGGCGGCTGCTGTACCGGAGCTAGTTGAGCAAGTAGATAAGTTTCGATCCCTCGACGAGTCACCTTGCTTCCGCCGCCATCACTCGTCCTCCCCCACTATGTTCGAGCAGATAAACGTATCCAGGGATATCGAGGCTCTCGAAGGCTGCCTTCATTGCTACCAACTTTGAGTTGGCCGACGTGACGCGAACCTGCTCTCGTCCGAGGCTCCTGGCGAGAAATCCTCGTGGATTATGTGAGAACGACGTGCTTCCTCGCGAGACGGGAAACGATATCATAAATAGAAACGGCGCTGGATAAAGTTACGTATGGGTCAGTGATTACAGGCGCGCTTAACGACGGAAAGCTCGTTAAGCACGCAATAATTTGCGTCGAATTAAATGATATTACCGCCGCGATATCCGACTCCTGCGAACCTGACATGTCTCATTTCTAGTGGCTCGGCTTGGCCAAAATGGGCTAGAGTGGATAAGAAAATTTAGATACTTTGAATGAACATAGAGGGTTCGAAAATATAACAGAAGTCCTGTCTCTCTTAAAGAAGGTAGAACAAAAGTTAATTTAATTTAATTTCTTCTTTATTAGAGAAGATTTTTCTTGCTAATCAGAAAATATTGAAATATTGCAAACTCCCCAAACACGATGCGGCGAGGGGTTAACCCGTCCACGCGAACATCCCAAGAACGCGACGTCTTTTATTTCCGGGTGCATATTCGAATATAATTTCCCCAGCCCGACCTGATCGAATTAACGGGGTAATTGCAGGGCCAAGAACAAAAACCAATCTAAAGGCGGGCGAACAAAAGGAAAGATCGCCGCGTTAGCGCGCGGGGGTCCGAGAAAAGGTGAGACAGAGCGTCAAACAGAATGTTCGCTTTGTTCTCGGTGTCCAGCAAGAAGATAATTTCCCAAGGGTTAATTCCTTCCACGATTTCTCGGGGCGCCTGACCGGGAAAGGGAACGCGAAGGGCACGTTAACACTTAGCTCGAGCGACAAAGGTCCAATTCCTTGTCCCCAAGGTGTCCTGGCGCGACAATGGGAACAGAACGCTCGATGAAAAGTACTCGGGGCTTAAGGAAGGAGAATTCCCTGTCAAGGAACACCGGTGTGAGAAAGTGTGAAGACTGAAGGACTTGGAGTGGGGGGAGTGGTTGGGTAGGAGAAGCAGGAGGTGGACGAAGGGGTAAGAATCCGTGGAGAACGGGGATGCAACGAGGCTGCAAGTCAAGCGAGAATCTAATTTCCCGAGACAAATCCTTAAATGTACCCTGGAGCCTAGCAGGAAGGCGCGAGTCAGGTCACCGGCTGGAATGAGCTCGCGTCTAGCACCCGCGACGACGACCTTTAACTCGGTTCGCCAATTTTGCATCTCCATAACCTCGCGAGAACGCGTCATTAAGTTCATTCACGCGGGGAATGCGGTGAATCGAAAGCACGAACCGCCGCCGCGTTATCCGTGGAATGTAAAATTGTGATAAAACAGTTACGCCCGATTGAAATCCTCGCTTGCCGTCTGCGCCCGAGGGCGAACTTCGGGACTTTCGGTTAATGCGAGGATCCGTCGCGTGCTCGAGATACGATTCCACCACCGAACGAGCCTTTACCGCGAGAAAGCACGAGTCGCGAAGAAATTATTGGCGAACGCTGCGGTGTTCGATCTTGTTAGGCTCTTGCAGTGTAATTTTTTTAAATACTTGAATTTATCTCAATAGCGAGTTAGAAGAACGAATTCACTAATGATCTTCTTCGTTTCAATTGTATATTAATGCGCACCAAGATGAAATTCTTTACAATCTCTTGTGTTCCTAATTAACAATACTATTATTACGACAACGTGGGTATGGTGATTATGAAAATGGCTCGAGTCAAATTTATAGCTCATTTTATGTTGAATTTGCACTCATCGATCTACATTTGAATAGCATGGAACAATTTTGGAAGAGCGGTGTAATATTAGCGTGCTAGACGACGTTGATAATCGTGTCTGAGTTACCTCAGAAAGGAAATATTTATTCTCATTTTACGTCCACATTAATCCTATGTAATAATGTAAAAATAATATTAATTGATTGTTAACGAGACAGAAGATAATAATCCATGACTTAGGCTATTTTCATTATCATCACCACACGTAATAATAACTTCCTCATCGAGCAGTATTTATCGTTAACGATTTAATTTTCTACATGTTTACCTATCGCAACTGTTAATCCGATCTTAAGACCAAACGAAAAGACCTGTGCCGTATAGTCATGCTAAAAAATGAAGCCACTATGCTAATGAAACCACGTTATTCGATGAAAATCTTGCAGGGAGGGCATGCCGAGTGTCTTGTCTTGGGAGGATACATGTAGGCAACGACGACAACGAATGGTGTAATTTTGGGCCCAATGGCATTTCTTTTTTCTGTTCTGTATTCCAGAGTGCATGATGGACGACGGGAGCACCAGTGCCATCTTCTGGAAGTAGGAGGCACCGGTGGCGGCTGCTGAAGGTAACTTCGACTTCCAGGAGATAGCTAGCTTCCTTCCAGTACCTCTATTCTTCTTCTTCTCCGCAAATCGGCAGAAGAAGAACCTCTCTAAGAGAAAAAAAAAGAAAAAAAAAAAAAACGAATTTTTCTCTCTCATCACGCCATCACCGCTGATTCAGCCAGCACAGCTCGCCGCAAAGTTCATTTTGCTGCTCGCTAGTGTTTGACCCACGAAAACCCGACATTCCTCCGTCCAACTTCCTTCTCCACTCTCGATCCAATTTCTTGACCCGACGCGCGCCCGATATACATGTATATGTACATACATGTATATATACGTCCCTTCGAATAAAAGCAGAATCCAAGTATATACCACAGGAAGAATACCGTCCGACCCTGACTAAATTAACCCAATCGCGGAACTTTCTCGAGAGACCAAAATTCTCGATCTTCCTCTCTCTATCTCTATCTCTCTCTCTCTCTCTCTTTTTTTTATAAATATTCATTTTTAACGCGAGACAATTGGGAGTAAAGTTTCCAATCGGAATTCGTCTTCAGCTCTTCGATTTTCCAAATCAAACTCGTGCCAAACTGTTCAGAGTGCGTCGTTCTTGGCAACAACCCGATTCCAACGTAATTCGACGCGTGTTTATCGAATGAAACCTTCTCACTCCGTTTCAAATACCGTTCAGCCGTTCCCAAAATCCATACTATCGGCGAACACGAACATACAGCGTGGTTACACTATGAAGGTATTACAAAATAATGTTGTGCGTGCCCACGTGCGTGAACCTTTACCTAGTAGCCGTAAACTTGTCGTTCGTGTTTTTTGCTCTAGTTATTTGCGCACCGGCGTTTATCACGTTGTGAGAACCTCGTTACGTGCGGGTTCCGCGTGGACGCTCTTGGATTCCCATGGATTCGTCGCAGGTGTCTTAATTCGCGCGAATTCACGCGCCATCATTCGTTGGGTCGTCGAGCAGATAACCAAACCGTGGAAGAGCGAATGATCTTTGAGCGTCCACCGACCGTACGTTGCGGATAGCTTCCTTTTTTTGTTTCGAAGGCCGAATAAAAAACGCCTCGTAAACGTCAAGTCCCGTAATTGATCCCAGTCTTCAATATTTCACCTTATCCCTTCGTATGGACGACCACCTTAAGCGTAAATATTCTATATTCATATAATTATATATTTATATACATACTATTTACCGCTCTTTACAGCTATGACCATAACATAGTGGCTCGCTCGTTGGATGTGTTGTCTCGTTCGTTGTCGATGTGTTTTTTTATCACCTCTGTAAATATTTTCTACTTATGGTGTCAGCTACGTTTATCTTATTCTATTACTTAGATATGATTCTATATGAAAACTTTTTGACCCCCAGCCCCCTTACTCCGTTTTACCCAGCCTCCCGATGACAGACCCATCCACGAACAATCCATCGCGCCACGTCTCTCGTCACGTAGTCCCAGTCGATCTCGCACACCCACAATCATTTTTATTATCGATATTATACAGGGGTACACGTACACGCAGGATACACACTCAGCGCAGATATTTCGAGAAAAAGCGTTTGCGTTCGAGAATTGTCGAATTCCTTGGCCCGCGATGCCACCGAAAATTGTCAAATTCGAACGATGCTTCGCTAAAAATCTATTCGCATTTAACAGTGAATTTCTTGGGACGGTAGTGAGTCCTGTTTTCGCGCCGAGTGATTCTCAATTGAGTCAAACTTTTAGAGTTCGCCGTACGATCGTTCTCAAGGGTGGAGACTATGATATTTGCGATAACATTTGACGAGTGAGACGTAAATTTTGTAAAATCTGGCTCGTCAAGCACGCTCGTTAACTTTTTAATCCGAGATGCTTTCAAAGTTTGATGTCCAATTTGACAAAAGCTCGGCGCACGTCTTGAGCATCCGTGCAACGAACCGAGAAAGAGACGGAGACACGATCAGGCCCAAGTATGATACTCCACGAAACGGCATCGTGATCGTAGGTCAATTCACTTCGTTCGAAATAGCTGCAAATTGTTGAAAGAAAAAGTTGTTAAGTGACGTGTGACCCTTTATAAGCGATATGTTGACCTCAGCACCACGTGGCACACTCGTTGGTGGCGACCTCTGCGATCACAGAGGTAATATTTTAATCGCGAATATTTATGTCGAATTTAAATATCGTGAAAAGAAAACAAGAAAGAAATATTTATAAGTCGAAACCTCTGCGTAGACGACGTCGCCATCGAGAGTTCCGCCCGTAGTTGAGTCGCTTGTACGCCCCCCATCCGATTTTTACGCGAGTACCGTTTTTTCTCCATCTGTTCTTCGGCTTGTGGCGTAGGATGTAGGATTGAAATTGATTGATATTTCCTTTGTTATCGTTACTTTACTACCTCACAACTCCCATTGAAATACATTAATCGTCACCGGCACACGTGTGCGTCGTGTTACTATAATTATCCGATGTCGTTATCGCAAGACGATGTAATTTTCTTATCGTCCTCGGCATTTCACGTAATCTGTACGTACCGTAAACGCAATATGTGTTGCAACACAATTTACGCAGTTCTCAACCGCTGTCTAAACGCAAATTGAAAGTTTAAGGCCGTATAAGGCTGCGTGTCCGTGTAAATTTGCATTATAACACAGATCATACATATGTATATATCTATATGCATATTGGCAATATATAGATATATGTATATTTTATATATACCCCTACCCCCCCTTCCCCTTAGGATGGTGGATGCTGGTGTAACCGTGTAACTTTGTCGTTCTCGGTGTTAGCCGCAAAATCTCTTTTTAATGCCTAACAAGCGCTATAAGCGAAACAGCCCCGTATCGAACTGGCAACGACTAACGCATCTCTTTGTTTTTTCTCTGTTCCTTTTATTTCAACACGCGGACCGACCCGCAGACAGAAAGCTGTTCGTGGGAATGCTCAGCAAGCAACAGACAGAAGACGATGTCAGGCAGTTGTTCACTGCTTTTGGCACAATAGAGGAGTGCACCATCCTCCGAGGACCCGACGGCAGTAGCAGAGGTGAGTTACGTTCACGTAATATGTACCTAGATTACGATGTATTTATAATTGTGGTATTTTATGTGTGGTGTTTTATCGTACGTGGTGTTGTTACAATGGCGTGGGACAATGTTACTACGAAAATATGATAACGGGAATAAATATGCTGGACATTAAGCACCTGTACGACTCGTATTTATGAGTCGACCTACTGTTAACACTTTATCTACCGAGAGGCTATTTAGAGGCTTTTTAAATAGTGTATCCATGTTTGTAATTGACTTTGCGTATGGTTAGTCATTCGAGACTATAGAAACCTGGCTACGAGTTGTTATGTTTTAATGAAACCGAATTGACTAAATGGCCAGGTTTACGCAATCCCCTCCCTTTTCAGTAGGAGTCTTGAACTCGCGCACTAATTTTGTCGACCGATGTGCGACCTAGTTGCGCAGAATCATTGTGCCACCATCATTGTAACTGCATGACGAATCGACGCTAATCTTCCAAATCATCTATCCCAAAGTAGCTTGAATCGCTATGAAATAATAATTCTCTGTCAGTGTGTGTTATATATTCTGCACAATTCGATGTATGCACATTGTATGCTGCACATTCCAATGTATTTTGCCAATGTTTACGTATTAAGTGTAACCACTATATTTATTTACATGTAACTGAAATATGTCGAATATTATGTGTATCGAATTTTTATCCTCAAAATGTGACGATAAGTAGTTTAATCCTTGAATTAATAACTTATCCTGAACTTCGAGTATCGTAAATTATTGACATTATTATTTCATAGTAATTCGTGCTACTCGTTTGCACATTAAACGATTCGATAGATTAGACGCGCTCCATCTTGTAATGGCTGGCGTAATGTTTCTGCGCAATTGTAGAATGTCTTAGCGCGGTGGACGAAGAAGAAAGAGTGGAGGTAGCGTGAACCTAGCTATTAACAATTTCATTTGCGAGAACCCACGTTTAGCTTGTCCTAAGCACTCTGGATCCCAAACAGCCATTAGGGAATAATCATGTTCATCTTTTTACTATAATACATAAAATAACATGACTTTTGTGACGTATTCGGAATAACTCGCGATATTTTTGCCAAAGATTAAAAAATAGGAGTTTGAGCATTAAAGCAAACTAAGACTCTACAATTAACCGTGGTCCACCAACTCAAATCATCTCAAAAAAGAAACAATTGTTTAGAAGTTATATCTAACTCACACGCCACACTCGAATAACAAAGCATAACTGGACTGATGAAATGGAGTGCAATCACAGTTTCATTCAAAAGTTTACCACAGCAAACTCCACTAACTCTCCGAAGTAGCTGATGCTTAAAAAGAGAGAGGAATTACCAGCAAACCAAGCCAGCAATATTAACGATGGAACACCGACTCGGGAGTTATCTCAAAGAAAACAATTGCCTCGAAGGGATGACTCGCACGCTACGCTAAAATCATGACAACAAATTCGAAGAAGTTCAAGCAAGCCAGGAAAGGCGTTAATTTCCGCAGAACCAACCAACGAATCTCGGATATTTTTATTCCAAAACGAACACACCGAGTAATAGGACGCCGCTCGAGTTTCCAAGAGTTTTTTAAAGCGAGAGGCTGGAAGTAATCGCGCGGAAAGAAAAAGATGGAGGCGTAAATAGGGGAAACAATGCACAGGAAGGGGAAAGAAAGGAAGCAAGAGAGAGACGAATGAAGTTACCCGAAAGGGGAGAGGGGTAAGTAGCCGAGGAGGCGCGAATGTAATTAAATTCCATCTTGAAATAAAACTCACTTTCAACGGTTAATAAGATTTTGATTCGCAGTCGGTGACGTAACATAGAACCCATCGTCTTTGGTTGGTTCGCAACGGGGTAGAGAAGCTGGAGACATGATTGTAGAAGGGGGTGAAAGGCAGTACTCAAGGCAGGACCCTATATCAGAAGACTCGCTCCTTTGCTTTACGGGGGCGGTACGTCCCTCCCCCGTACCGTGCCACCCTTTTTGCTAAACCGAAGCCAGTGTCATTGCCTGGCGCGGGCTTTGGGCTCTTTGTCGAAAATCGGGGCGATGTTGCGCTCACTTTTCAAGCTCTTTAATTAAAATCACACGAACGCAATCATTGCTTTCGCTGGGATCGATCCGAAACGTTCGGTTGCTTACGAGGATCGCCTGTAATTTCGCCATTGTCATCTATTTCGCGATAAAAGGACGCTAAAAGGGGGTTAGGGTTCCTGAATGGCCCGATAAAATTGGTTCCAGCAGCCAGCAACACTGGCAAACGTGTACATTTAACCAGGGCATTGTTTTAAAATAAAATATTTTAAGAGCCTTTCACTAAGGAACTTCGACAATTAATTTTGAGAGCTAAGTGTTGATGAAAACAATTCTAGAAAGAATTCGTAAATTTTGATGAGAATAGATAAATAAGTACTACGACAAATATTAGATTCTATAGTTTGTAATTGTCTCGAGACAAAATTTCAGGCCTGTACATTCCCATGTGAACGTTTTTAACGTGTTAAAATTTTCTGGGGAGTTTATGAATTAATTTTAATTGATTTAATCTGGGGGACACTGAAAGGGTCCGTAACCGTGTCTTCAGAGAATGGAAATGTCTTGCACGGAAAGTCATCGATCGATTATTCCGCTTAACTCTGCCGTTACGTCCCCCGTCTTGGTTCCTGACGGAAACTTTCCAAACACGCTTCATCACTACTCGGTTGGTCTCGCTTGAGTTCCCTAGCTAGCTAATCCGTGACGTTATAGTGACATCAAGGAGATCTCCTGTACGACTTCACCTGTCTATCGCTTCGGATCTACTGGCGCAGCCAGTAATACATATACAGTCAGTCCCATAAGTTTTCGTACCCTTTATGCCCATTGAAGAAATTTGTCTAAATTAATTCATAGGTTTGATGTTAATTTAGACGAATTTCCTCAATAGACATGGGACTGACTGTAAATGTGTCGTGTGTTCAAAGATACAAAAACGTAGATCAGAAAAAGCAAGAATGAAAGGGCAACCTAACCCTACATTCAGTTCTAGGGAATCCTATATATCCAAAGTTAATTAGACAACGCTACAAAGGATGACAATCTTTCCCAAACTTATTGGCAATTCCTTCGCCCTGTCTCTCGAGTAACTTCCCTCATCGGATGATACCGTCTAGGCCGGTAGTCGGGAAGGTAGCACAGCGTTTCTCGGTAACGAGGAGTTTAAGAAAGGAATTCGTTTCGACGATTCTATGGAAAGACACGACGGTTGTCTTCGTCATCGTCGAGGCGGTCCGCATTCCTCCGATGCAATAGTAACGACAGACTCTTCGTCCAATTATTTTTCCCTCGCTTCGAAACATTTCAACGCCACTTCAGCGAACGAACTCGTTCCATTCTCTCGTTTGCGTGCCAACTTTTCTTCGCCTCGTTCCCCTCCACCATCAGCCCTCCTCCAGCCCCTCTCGTCCACTCCTTTCGATTCTCTTTAACTCCGTTTTTCGATGCACAGAGGTCCCAACAGTGGCAGACCTCCCACCTCCCGCAGCCTCCCAACATGGAACCGGGGCAGGTGTTATTTCAATTGTGCGAGCAGCAATAATTCACCCGCGCTAAGAAGATTATAAAATGTTTATGAATAATGGAACGAGATATTATTCGAAGCAGGTCCGAGGGTTCTCCTCGAGCGTGGAAGGGTTCGCGCGATGTGGCGCTACCAACACCGAGGCGAGTAATGCCACGAAGGCGCCGTCGAAACGGTTGGCGAACTCCTGTATCCGCTTATTGCGGAACGGTGTGTTGTAAACGTTAAACGAATATTCGCGCAGCAGAACAATTTCGTGTATTAAGTTGTAACAACATCGGGCTCCCGCCGGTTCGCGATCCTCTTCCCGTTTTCCTGCAGCGTTCCTGTTCATACCTAACCTTCCGACTGTCGGCGGGCATTATATCATCTTTAAACAGCTTTCATCAGCGGAAGACGCAGATAATGAGATTACGTATCGCGTCGCTTTATTTACTAACAACAATTGCGTTCGCGTGAGGGTGGGGGGACAACATTTTCCGCTGATGCGGTCCAATGGGATCGAGAAACGGTGTTTGAAGGAGGTGAAGGGAGATTGAAGATGTTTTTTTACGCGAGGAGTATCATTTATTTGAGATGTGGAATGTAGGGGCTGTTACGAGATTGGTGATGTACTTTAATTGGTTGAAAACAGTACAATGGAAGTGACTGTTCAAACGAAATTCTAGAGAATTTTCAAGAAACATAATATTTATGCAATTTGCTTTTTGAAAGAGGACTGATTAAATTAATATCGTAGAAAACATTTCGATCGTTTCTCCTCGAATACTGCGTGCGATCATGTGACACGAACAGATTAGAATGGTCCCGTTAACGACATTACTGACAGGAAGTATGACGAATCAATAATTTTCTCGGCCTAGCATTTTATGAGGGAGTATTAAAAGGGAGATAGTTATCGATGATTGATCGTCCTGCTGTCACCTGCACGGGCTCGTCCCTTTGCAGAATGTATCGTGCCACGATACACACATCCAATTTGCAGCTTTTATCTTCGATGTGAAAGCTGGTGAAACTTTTATTTCGTTTCCTTATAAATATTCAGTCTTCTCAGAACTAGGACGGACAATGCCAAAATCGCAGCTCGAATTTTAAATATTCCGAATGAGAAATATTCCGAACAGCAGTCGGGAAGACAGACAGGAGCCATGAATCATATCACCGTGATCAAAGGGGAAAACCAATAATGATGGACAGAGTTGGAGTGGGGTGGCAAGACGTGACAGAACTTGGAGCGAGTGGGTGGAACGTGACGAGACAAATACAAGATACGTAAGCGTGAAAAAGCGGATCGGTGCCAAGTAGAAACATGGCGGTCGAAACAGCAGGATGGATCAAGCGTTGTATCAAAATCTTCAAAAAATAATTGGATTGTAACACGGTTAAAGATTTAACCTTCTCTAAGCTCGTGTATAGAGACCAAAGGACCCTGGCTAAGT